TTATTAAGAAAGAAATAGCAATGAGACAGTTTCAAAAGAGGCTAGCAGGACAGTTACAATAATACATTCCATATTGTTGTCTTCATGGTAGTTACTCATAGTACAAGATGCAGACATGATCTCTTGTCTAATGGGATTATAGACATGCACCACCATGCCCATTTGTGGTGGCCAGCACAGGGATTCTGGGGTTCTGGGGCAGTACCAGGGATTGAACGCTGGTCCTTGCACTTGCCAGGCAGGAACTTAGACCGCTGAGCTATCTCCCCAGCCCCTGATGCATATTCTGTCATGAGGTAGCCTGACACTGGACACCACCCGCACCTGTTCTGCGCTGTGCCAGATCACCTAGATTCTTGACTTCCGCTTGTCCGTGCTGTGATCTTGCCCTTCGACCCTGCGTGACCCTCGAGGCCCATGTCCTCTCCCTGCCTCATCAACTCTCTTTGCCCCCACCTCCCTGACATGGGCACTGAGGAGCCCTACTCTGCTCTGACCACCCCACCTTTCTACCCCAAGTCCTGCTGCTTCCTCCCATCTGGGTCCATGGTCCTCTTTACCTTTTTTAATGCTTGCATTTCCCTTTAATGTTTTGCATATAAATTAGTGGGAATTAATTAGTTATTCACACCACAGATCCTCATAGAGAAGGTGTTAAAAAAATTAGTAAAATCAGAGTCCAGGCTGATGTTCACATTCCTGTTGTAGGTGACGCTTTGGACAAAACTGAGGAGCACCTGGCTTACGGCGTAGAGAACAACAGCACACTGTTGGAGTGCACTCCGCGCTCCTTACAGGCCAAGGTCGTCTGGTTTGTACAGAAAGGACGCGACGCAAGGAAAGAAGAGGTAACCCAGGGCTGCACCTGCCCCTGCGAGCGGCTGGCCGTGGTGTGTGATCCGTGCGTGGGTGGTGGCCGAGGTGCTTTGAACAGGGATGCTGTATCACGGTGGTCTTACTGTTAAAGGCCAGCTTTGTTCATTATGTGTGAGTTATATGCATACAAAGATTAAAGTACGTATACTTACAGAGTTTATATACACATTTGCATGTAAATACCAGTCATTTTATGTGAATGTATAGATCATTGCTGTAGAGTCTTGAAATTCGGAATTCACCTAAGAAGTGCTTAGAGCTTCATGATCTTATTGTCATGTAGTCAGAATTATAGTTTTTAATTGTCTCAATGAAAGTAGTGTTCCAGAGAAACAGTAAACTTACTCCCACAAAAACATGCAAATAATACAATCAAAGCAAAAGCAGCACCTAAGTCAAAAGTTAGTATGCACTCATGTAGTGCACATGGCTGTGGTCTCAGCACCCTGGAGGCAAAGGCAAATTCAAGCCCAACTTCAGCAATTTATGGAGACCTTGTCTCAGAATAAAAAAATAAAAATAGCTCAAGTGCCAAGGCCTTGGGTTCAGTCCCGAGTACCGACAAAAAAAAAAAAGTAGTAAACGTATTGTCCGCTTTGCCACCAGCGAACACGATACTCAACACGTACAACTTTGAGGAGAAGAGCTTTGCTTGGGCTTACAGGGAGGGACTCGGCCTGCAGCCCGCTGGCCCATGGCAGTGCAGAGATTCTTAGTTTATGGCAGCCACGAAACAGAGCCGGGGAGCAGTGCCAAGGGGATGAGGGACCCAACATAGACGCCACGCTCACGCATCCATGATTCACCCAGACCCATCTGGAAGCGTGTGCTACCAGCACCCTGGCTGGATCCCGGGACCACTGAGGTTGACACTGTGACCCGACTACCGAAACCCACACTGCTTGTCAACTTTGTGCCCAAGCACACCCCCTTAAGCCATACTATAATGACAGCAGCAAGGTCACAATCCATCTTACAGAATATGTCTATCCAGGGTACAACTAGAAATGTAATAATCCCTTCCCCAGTGTCTGAGCAATTCCAGAATTTTTCAAACATCCAAGTCTTTTCTGAGATTCAAGGCAAATTCTTAGCTGTGAACTTCTGTAAAAATGAAAAGTAAGTCACATGATTTCAAGGTAAAACACCATAGGGTAAGCATTCCTATTCCAAAAGGAAGGAGTTGGTAGATAGAAAAGAATTTGACCAAGAAAGAGGGGAAACAGCAGGAAACCGTTAAGACTTGTAGCTCCACATCCTGCATCCAGGTCATGTGATGACAACACGAGCACCCAAGTCCTTGGGTGACCTTAACCTCATGACCTTGCTGGTTGCAGCATCATGGCCTATGTCTTGGGCAGGCTTCACCAACAGCCTGTGGCTTTCCTCAGCAGATACCTCACATTCCTGGGGCTCCACTTCGTCTTTGGCTTGCTCCCCACAGCTTCACATCACACTTACCCTCTCAGAGCCCTCTTGCCTGTCCTCCAGGCCTTCCTCCATACTCTGGGTGGAAGCCTCCCTGAATCTACAGACCTTGCATTCTACATTGCAGCATCAGGCAGGTCATGCCAACGCCTGCTGTCAGTAGAGCAGTAGGCAGCCTTCCTTGCTTCAGGGTTGCAGTGGCCTCCCAGTGTGGGCACGGTTAGCTGAATCCTGGGTAAGCATTTCCCTAGAAGGCCCTTCTCCAGCAGGAGTGCCAGGCCTCGCTTCTCAAATGAAATCCTGAAACTCAAGCCTGAAATGGGTGAAGTCTTGCTGATTTCTGGTATGCTCTCAAGCCATATTCTTCTTGTCTCTGTGTGAAGTGCTTGGTTTCTTGTCAGTGATGCTCACCACAACAGCCGTACCTCCTTTGGCTCCAGGTTTACACGTATTTCCTTCTGTGTCAAAATTAAGCTTTTTAATTTTTTCTGCTCTATGTTTTGCTTCTGATTCTAACTGCAAGTTGGGGTAGAAGCAGCCAGCTGTGTTCATGCCACAGCCTCCCTCTCAGCCTACTAGAAAGGCTCACAATATGGGCAAAGTAGAGACAAATTCTCTGTCATAGTGCAATGCGGATGGCCTCTATCCAACTTCCCGTGGGGTCTTTGTTCCCAACCAAAACCTCTTGAGCCTGGCCTTTTCTGTCTACATTCCTAACCGCCTTCCGGCCTTCTTTGCTCTGACCGGAATCACCCATCAGTATCAGTTTCCAGCATTCTAAGGATTCTAGCCAACGTCTCTAAGCCCTTCTACACTTCCCCCTCACACCTCTTCCAAAGGCTTCTAAATCGTGTGGTCAGACACGGTCACAGCACTGACCTCACTTCTCAAGTACCAGTTTTCTATATTAGTCAGCTTTCCTGTCAGCGAGGACAATACCCAGCACCCACAATTTAAAGGAGAGTCAGTCTGATTTGTCTCACTTTTGGGGGCGCCCAGTCCATAGCATAAGGACCTGGCAGAGCACAGCTTCTTAGCACACGGGGCCAGGAGGCAGCGCGGAAAAGCAGTGCAGGGGAGGGGGGCCCACACTCCATGGCCAGGCTCGGCTCCGACCACCCAGGCTCACCTGGCGCTGCGCTCCACCAGCCCCCGGGGCAGGGCGTCACTCTGCTAGCAGACACTCCACCCAGCAGCTCTTTCATCTCCTAAGCTGCCTTAGTGACAGAGAGTCTACTTCTGAAATCCTTAAATGATGAGAGAGAATGCCTTTGTGCGGAATCACTTGGAGGCGATTGTGCGTGAAAGAATTGCACAGAGGGAGTCGGTTGTGAACAGCAAGAGGTCCGGGGTGTAAAGGAGTTAAGGCAGGTAGCTCAATGGCAGTGGTGTGGGCTTTGAACTTGATCTTCACCAAATCAAGTAGCAAATAGAAGAATATTTGTTTATTGCAGAGAGAGAGAGAGAGAGAGAGAGAGAGAGAGAGAGAGAGAGAGAGAGAATGAATGCTTGGGAAATACTGGAGAGATAGATTTTGCCAAAAAGAAGGTTTACAAGTTATGTATCCACTAGGCGGTGACTCAGTGGAAATCTCTACTTCGTTTCAACATACAAGATTAAGTATTTGTTATTGGAAGCCAAAATTACTGATTCCAAAAAAAAATTATCTTTTTATAGCCTTTAATGAAACTAAAACTCCAAACTGTGTCAGGAGTAGAGTACCGCAGCACATCCTGGAAGGTGACTGAATGAGTAACGTTCCGGGTAATCGGGAGGAGGAGCCCGTTCTCGTAACCTATGAGAGATCATGGAGAAGTTCAATCAGGAAAGGAAAATTCTTCAAAAATTTTATGACATCAAAAGAATAAACACACCTAAATATGTTATAGCATGTCGTACTCAGTTAAATTGTTCGTTTAGAGCTGAAGTATTTTCCATTTCACAAATGTGGGGTGAAGCAGCTTTGTAAATTCCATTATAACTCACTTGGGTGGAGAGGACCTGGGAAGATCCTGTAACTCCTCCCTTCAGAAGGCAGAGAAGTAATCCTTTCATCAGTGTTTTTCTTCACTTAATACGTTCTGTTTCTGATTTGGGACTCACTGTAGCCTGCCTCAGTTGGAAATCCTTACCAAATCATTTTGACATGTGCATCCATCATTGCTCAACTGTATACATCGTTCTCATACAGCTGATACACTCTGTCCTTTCCTGTCAGTTTTAGTCCCTATTCTCAACGACATCAAATTTCTCTCACCGATGTTGCTGATATTTGAAAATTTGAATTTATCCTCTGCATATTAGTCATGCCAAAAATCAGATATTTAGTGATTTCTATAGATACATCAGTATACGAAATGAATCATTCATAACCAAATGCAAAGTGCAACACAAAATTCCTGCCTTCACCAAGTGCTGAGTGCATATGTTATGTACGCAAAGCATAGTGACTGCCAGAGAGCCTTGAGATTTCTTCAAGGATGATTTTGCAGTTACGATTGTTGCCTTGTCTTGTTTTCTGTGAGACACGCATAGACAAATAACGCCATCAAATCGAGAACACAGCACAGGACGGGTCCACTTGCCTGCCCGGCTCTCGCCCCCTTGGGCGGGCGTACAGGGAAGCCCTGACGATGCCCTCCAGGCTCACCCTGGCGGCGCTGCACACCCTAACGGCCCGCTCACCTGCAGGGCCACAGAGGCAGCTGCTCTTTCCGCTCACTGAGCGGATCTCTTTGCTTCTTCGCTTTGGGGACTTCTTGTGCCAAGCTTCCGCTCGGTGTCTGCTGGACCCGGAGCTCTGGAGGGGCCCAGACACGACCTGTGCAGGTGAATAAAACTTGCTCAAACTAGCCTTCAGAAATTGTATAGATGAAGGATTCAGAAACATGTACAGTCTCAGTTATCTGGTTTGTGACCCTGAACTGCAGCAATTTTCTTAAATTTATAATTCATGATTTCCTCCTTCCCAAAATACAAACAGATGAAATGATCTTTATACATTTTATTAATTCTGTAAATATTTATGGGAAGGCTGTTTTATGTATTTCATAAGGGAAGATTTTTCTCTTGATTTGACTACTAGATTAATAATTCTACTAAATTAGTTTCTATAAATACATTACATATAAATTAAATGAACATAAATGATAAGATTTTATAAATAGCACCAGTTATTTTGATATTGTTAAAGAAAAGAGACTTAATACAATGACTTTTTTTTTCTGGTAGTGGGGATTGAACTCAGGACCTTGCGCTTGCCAGGCAAGCGCTTATTTTACTGAGCCATCTCCCCAGCCCTAATACAATGGCTTTGACAGGTGAACTTATGCTTTCTTTCTTTCCTTTTTTTTTTTAGAAGTAACGAACATATTCTTTTTATTGTTATTAGTGTTTCTGCCAGTGAGCTCCGGCAACACCGCCTCTGATCTTATTTGATCCCACTCTTGGCCATGGTCTGAGCCCTGCACACTCCCTTCCCTTTCACCTCAAAGGGAACACCCTTGTATGTGGCCACACAGTCCTCTCTGGTGTACAGGTCAGGCTGGATCTGCTCCCAAATCTTCTTTTTAGGATTTAGCTCCTTGTCAGGTTCCCCAGGGAAAGCATCAAAAGTGACTCTGTCTCCAGGAATGGACCCATCAGGAGGAGCCAGGATTTCAACCTTCTCTGGTGAACTGGCGCACATCACCATCGCCTGAGACAGGACCCCCCTCATCTTTGCAGGCTTCAGATTGCAAAGCAGAATCACCATCCGATTTTGCATCTGTTCAAGGGGAACATGATTCACTAGGCCGCTGACAACTGTTCTTGGGGCTGCTTCTCCAACATCTATTTCTTCTACATACAAAGAATCTGCATCAGGGTGTTTTTTGGCATTAATGATTCGGCCAATTCGAAGATCCAGACGGGAAGCATCCACTGGCTTAGAGTCAGCACTTCCTGCTGCAGATGGCTTTTTCTCCTTCTTTTCTCCTTTCTTTTCAGTTCTTTCTTTCGCCTTTTCTTCTCCCCGCTTTTTTACGTGTTCTTTGGCACCAGACGATACAGTTACTGGTGTTGACTGTGCTGCATTTTCAGCAGTCACAGAATTGGCTTGCAGTGTAGTATAAGATGGGCATGGTATTTGCTTCACTCCATTCTGAATTTCAGCCTGAATCAGCTCCTGTTTCAGTTCTTCTATTTCTTTCTTCAGTTTAGCATTTTCAACTCGAAGTTTTTTCTCTTCTCTCAGTGTTGCCTGCAAAATTGCTTTCTCCTTGAGAAGAGCAACTTGCTGTTTAAGATATTCAATAATTTGATCCGCCTCTGCCCCCTTCTGCTCCAGTCTCTTCAGAACAGCCTCATTGGTTGTCATTTTTGCCAAAAAACGACAGAAACTCATGAAGCAGCCGACTGCAATTCCCGAACTTATGCTTTCGTATGTGCCTATTAGCTACACGGATCAGGTTTCTCACTGCCCCTAGTTACTGTGGACTGATCAGGTCCACAACCTCCCGAACGAGTGTATGGCAAAGGCTAAACAAAAGAGGCAAACAGAACACCTCCAAGGCTCCAGGAGGCTCAAAGCCCACTCGTGGGATTCAAGATTCTTTCTGGGCTAAGACCAGGCCCTTATAATTTGAAATTTTGAATTTATCCTTCCCCAGGCAACCTGTATTTATTCACTTTTCGGAAGCAGGAGGGGAGTGCTCAAGACGGGCAAAGGCCCAGGATCTCCAGGTGAGGTCTTACGCTTCCCCACCTCGGAGTGAGATGCCTGAGGCCACAGTCTCATCTGGCTGAGGTTGGAGCCAGGGGTCCTTGCCTGCGACCTTGTCTTATTCTTTGAGGCTTCACAGCTTCACCTGCCATTGACGACCTCAGTAGGGACCAGTGGCTCTCAGATGATCACCTACCTACTCTGAGCCTGCCACCAACTCCAGACGAGGCCTCGGACAGACGCTCAGTAGACGTGGAAGCTAACTGGTTGACCTAAGTCCGGCTCGGGGCTGCTTTGCAGTGGTTGCCATTGTGTAGCCACTACGGGAGGTGGCTTGCTTGTTATTCCTACATCTCAAAACTGAATTTTAGGCACGATTGTCCCCATCTTCACACCGTGGACACTAAAATTCAGAGAGCTGTGGCTCCTTTTCAAGTCAGTGACAGACCCAGGGCTCGCCCTCAAGTATCCCTGGCTCGGAAGCTGCCAATTTACATTCATCCATGGTCTTAGCAAATGCTATGTGCATTTTATAGACTATACCATTTATTCTAAAATATTTTGTTTCGTAAATATGAAGTAAGTGAGGCACAGAATAGCTAATAAAATAAACTCAGATCCAGGTTTCTGTGTCCTTCCTACGAAACCACAAAACCTTCCCAGATCGGAATTCCAAGTGCAGTTTCAGAAGCTTTGGGTCAGGAAATGAATAGAAAAGCATTCCCCACAGAAGTTCTGGAATCTGACTTCTGTAAATATCTCCGGATGCTACCTTGGTCCTTATATCTATTATTTTCATCATTGTTTAATGGGCCATAGTGTTGCAGATTTGCTGGAAAAGGCACAGGTCCTCACGCTTAGGTGTTGAGGTGTCTTCCCACCCTGTGCACGGCTCCCACAGTGAATCTGGAGCCAAGGTCTGGGACATCAGTGGGTCTCCTTCCTCAGAGAGCCTTCCTATTTTGGCTGTGGCAGGAGGCTTCCACATCACAATACTAGGGCTGTAGTATGTGAGTCTATGTAGATTTAAAAGTTGGAGTGCTTCTCCAACTTTTCCAAATGTTTAACTCCAAGAATGTTTAATTGATCCCTAAAACAGATTTATCTTGTAGCTGATAATTCTGCTTGCATAGGAGTTATATTTTGAAGAACACAGAAAGAGGATAATAATCAATAGTTCATGTGTCAGGTAATAGCAAAGGGAAAATTACAAGAGAGATTACTTGCAGGAAGAGGCTGCAGTTGTAAAGAAGTGGCACAGAAGGTCTCATTGGGGAGGTGAGCAAGAAGAAGACCTGTGAAGGATGAGAGGATAAGCCATGTGACCATGTGTAAGGCTTCTGTAGACACTGGCAAGTGCAGGTAGTAAAGATTCTTGCGACAGGAGCATACTTGTGCATTTCAAGAGCAGAGAGGAGGACACTGTGGCCAGAGACAAATGCATGAGAGGGAAATGGAGAGGCCGGAAGGTGAAGTAAGGACCAGCTCCTGCAGCCTGTGCGGGCCATTGGGAGGGTGCAGACATTCGTTCTGAGCTGAAGAGGAAGCAGTGTGGTCATAGTCAGCAGAGCCGTGATGCCGCTCAGTGTTTCACTAATCTCATTGGTTACTACATTAAACTGCATGATACACGAGGGTGAGCATGGGCCTAGTAATACAGGATAAAGCTTTCTGTTCCACGACAACACTGGCGCCTAATGTGCTGTGCAACTTCGAGACTGCACAGCACGCACATGGTTACTGCGTGCACCAAGGAGCACCGTGTTGGGCATATGCTCACCAGGATTAATGAAAATTTGGAAGACTTTAAAATATCTCTTGGGATGCTTTTTCAACTTTCTATCCTACACTGTCCGCATGTTTGTAATTGGTATTTGCATCTAGTAAATATCCACCCAAAGCCTCCTGTAATCAGTAGGCTTAATCTTAGCTTCTGTCAAGCCTTCTGTCTCAGTGAATGTGGAAGGGTTAAGAGGTAGTCATCATGCCTTTCACTGATTACAATTCTGTTGCAACAGAGGGAAAAGAAAACCACCTCAACCAATAGGGTATATGTGGAGGTGGCATGGCAGACAGTCCAAAAGGGCAGTGGCAAAGGTGACAGTTAAACGCTGCCTTCAGGGTAAGTGGAAAGGATCTAACAGAGAGAACTGAGAAACATGTATCATGGAGATGAGCGTGTGAAGTGCTAACCCAGAATGGAAGTGAAGACACAGAAATACATAGACAGGTGAAGGAATGTGCTTCATCTCTAAGTCAGGGTGAGCATCTGAGATGAGCTGCGAGACCAGCTTCTCTAGAAACTGGTATGCAGGCTGGGGACATAGGCAGGCCTTCAAGAATACTGTTCAGGAAGGCTTTCCCTGGTCAGAGCACCACATCAGCTAGACTGTTAGCAGGAAGACAGAACTCAGATTTTAATTTTTTGAGAATTAATGAATTGCTATGAGGCATAAAAGAAGCAATAGAAGTGATTCACATGTTCCTCGTTTTGATATCCATGTAGCTGATGGCAGAATAACAGCTGAAATACTTCCCTAAAGAGAGAAATGGGTTAGAGAAAAACATAGCATGTTGGGTTTTGGCCAGGTTGACTTGGAATCTCCCATACAGAATTAAGTAGCAGAAAGACCAAGTAGTAAGCAGGGCTGAAGAGATCTCAGCAAAGAGGTACTGGTTAAACTTAGTGAAATGATAAAAGAAAGATATAGCAAACAATAATTAAATCTAACACTTGGCATGTGCCCTTCAACACCAAACATTTTACATGTACTACTACTTTCAATCTTTACAATAATGCCATATATAGACATTTTATTGTCCCCTTTAGATTAAAAAATAGAGGTGCAGGGAGATCAAGTTATCTGAAGGTCACACTAGCTCCAGTTCCATGCAGGTGTCTTCTGTAAGTTTTGGGCAGGTGACCACAGTGTAATGTTGCCTCACTTAGAGCTTAAGGAGGACACAGTGCCTTCAGAGAAGACAAGCTAAATGGTCAGAAAGAGTGAAGTCAGGGCACTGTGACATGAGAGAGCCTTAGATCAAGAAGTGGGATGGGCAAAAGTAAGGAACAGAACCCCACAGAGACAGACGGAAAGCGAGCATCCAGTCTTGAGCAGGAGCGGTTCAGCCTCATGGGGACCTTGGCAGCTGCCCGGCCAGGGCTAGGGGACCAGTGCAGCTGTGCTGCAGCACAGCAGCGTGGCATGCAGGAACAACAGAGAGGAGATGCAGGAAGATGAGTTACCAGCTTTACTGTGGGTTTTAGAATGAGGGTGACATGGCTGGACTTACGGGTTGAAGGACGTGGCCATGGAGGAGCATCCGTACAGGCAGCTGAAGAAGCAAGGTGAAGGGCTGGGAGGGAAAAGGTGCCCACGGTCAAGACCTACGGGTGTGTGCTAGAAGAGGTGGTGCATTCACTGAAGGAACTGGGAGGAGTTGAAAGTTTGTGTAAGTAGGTAAGGTACTTACACAAGATACCCACAGAATCAAGATCAGCTGTTCCAAATATCCTGTCATTAATTAAATTTGGTGACCATGTATACTTTTATATAAAGTTTCAATTTGAAATGACAGTTTGTTTTCCTTACATGAAAAGTATTAAACCATTATTCTATAATGCAGAAAAACTTCTTTAAACACAACCAGATCACCACTGTACCCTCCCAATTCCTAAAATTCCATGTACTCAAATTCATAAACCTCTAAAATAATTGCAAAAATTTAATCCCAACATTCCTAAGGAAAGGAATCCATTCATTCTTGAAGTATTTAGTTGTAGAATTGAAATATTTCTTTATCTCTAAAATGTACAGTACTAAAACAGTAAATGAAGAGAATATTTAACATTCATTATTTACTAAGATTTAAATGTTTGTTAATTGATTGTATCTAACTTTCTGTTATCATGATAAAGAAAGCCAGATTACTTCAAGCTACTCAAAAGATTAGTAAACCATTCCCCACCTTGCCAGAATAGTTTGAGTATTCTGAGTTTAGAATGTATCCTGTTAACCTTCACAAAGGTGCCCGTGACTCTGACAGTGATTTAAAGCAGATATCCCCAGGGCCAGATCTGGGCCTGTGACTCCTTGGCAAGTGAGATTTTATTTGAAAACCACTGGGCTATTTCTTCACCCCCGGTCTGCTGCTGTTTTCCTGAGGGAATGATAAAGTGGAGTAGTTACAAAGAAACCAAGTGACTCCCCTGCCCAGATGCTGACGATACAGAACTTCACACGAAGGGTTCCAAATATCCTTTGACCCCTGACTTAAAGGCTCAGTGAAAACTCAGATGCACTGAAGCCTTATTAAATGAGTATAACTACCACTGTATTTTGGCCAAAGACCGTCTATTAACTAAATGAGCCCATTGTTTTGTGCTGAGTGCAAAAATGTCATTGTGGTATTTTGGTAGAGTCAAGCTGTGAATAATTTGTTGAAGCACATTATTTTGAACTTTGCTCTTTGCCATTCATTGAGAAAATCGTAGCGCACTCTCATGGCACCGTGACAAAGTCTGGCTCTGGGGAGAGTTGAATAAACTTCAGTCTTACTGGGGGGGGGGGATTTGAGAACAACCCTTAGATACGTGAAATAATCTTATGCCTATGCCAGAGTGCCATATGGCCCATAAGCAAGCAGATGATCCTCAGGAAGAATTACTTTCCCTTTGTTACTTACTAATCT